AAACATCTGTTTGGGGCACCCGGGTGGCTCAGCAGTTTAGTGTCTGCCTTTGGCTCGGGTCATGATCTCAGGGTCCTGGGATACAGTCCTGTATCAGGGTCCCAACAGGGAGCCTGCTTCTCTCTCTGCCTATGTCTCTGCCTCTCTCTTTGTGTCTCCCATGAATAAAGAAGTAAAATTTTAAAATGAATAAATAACTGAAATAAAAAACATTTGGTCCAAATACCAGTTAGTCGTTTGGGTAGGACTATAACTTTGTGTGTGCATAATTTTCAAAATACACTTACGTACATTGTATAATGGACCTCTCCAACAAACTTTGCAATAGATAGGAGGCAACAAAAAGACCTAAGAAGACTCCTGTAAGTTTCCAAACACAAGGGCATATTCCATTCTTCCAATTATAATTCAGTCATATACATTACTGTCATGATTACACAATTATAAAACATACTTAAATATATTATCTTTTTTTTTGAGATTTTATTTATTTATTCATGAGAGACACAGAGTGAGAGAGAGAGAGGCAGAGACACAGGCAGAGGGAGAAGCAGGCTCCATGCAGGGAGCCCAACGCGGGACTCGATCCCGGGTCTCCAGGATCACAACCTGGGCTGAAGGCGGCGCTAAACCGCTGAGCCACCCGGGCTGCCCTTAAATATATTATCTTGATAGAGGGTGCATCTATATGGTTTCCCAACTCATTCCACAAGATCTATGCAACCGAGTCAGGCCAGAAATATAAATATCTGAATTCCCCTGGAGTGGCTGTTATGACCAGAGGTAGCAAAATAATGTTAAAACATTTTTCCCCTTTCAGGTCTGTCTCAGTAGAGCTCAATTTGAAACATGAGGAGAAGATATTGATTAGGCTCCTGGGAGAATAACACTGATTCTGCACAGTTTAGGTGTACAAATAACAGAATTCATTTTACCATATCCCAAACTCCAAAGGCCAATTTCATCATTATTATGTTCTAAACAATTCATATTTCTCTGTCAAAGCAGTCCCAGAGAACATTTAGTCAGTTACAACTATCCCTTATAAGGACAGCCAGACTATAGAACTCCAAGAAAATGGTCAGACAGAAGGACTGAATTCAAATGTTTAGAAGGACTGACCCCTTACTGAGGAATGGGGCCCACAGAAATCCTTTCCCGCTCCCTGGAACGCGGATTTCAGCTGACATGACACATGCTTTTCTTCTTGGGTAGCCATTCCAGACCTTATTACATTCTGGCACCCAGGGACCTCGCGAAAGATTTTAGAAGTTCTACACAAAAACAGCTATGTTTGTTTTATTCACCATAGTATCAGTATTTAACAAAAGAATAAATAAATGAACGACTGAATGTGTCTGATATCCAATACATTTCAGAAGTTAGCCTCAAAATGTGTCCATCTAAGAGTCATGTTTAATGCAAAACGAGGACCTAGAAAATGAAGCACTGGTTAGGGATGAGTAGGGAATTGAATTGGCATGTACTGCGTACAAGCGATGTGCTGAGCATTGTGTATGTCAATTTACTGGGGAATTTAAATTAATCCTCACAACACCTCTATGAGGTAATTAATAGTATTATGTGAAGATGGTAAAACAAACAAAAATTGCAGGAAAGTTTGTGCATTTTATGCGATTCTGCAATTCACTTCGTTTTTTTCTCCCACTGCAATGACAATAGAAATAACTAGGCCGGGTTACCTTTCAAAAATGAGGGGAGACACATTTGGAAATGAATACATCAACATAATAAAAATGTTGCAGGCATCTTGTTAAGCCCCTCAAAATGTCCATGAGAAAATACTAGCCTCATTTCACAGATGAACAAAGGAAGGCTCAGAGAATTTCAGTAACTTATCTAGAATACTTCAGTTCTAAGTGGTGAATCTAAAATTCAAATACAGGTCATTCTGACTCCACACCTTACCTCAAATTTGCACTGTAATCTGCATCCTCTTTATCATCAGTAGTTCTACTATCTATTCAAAATACATACTCTAAAAGCAGCTTTCTTAAGATTTAATTCATGTACCATAAATTTTGCCCATTTAAGGTGTGCAATTCAATGGTATTTTAAAAGGATTGACCAATCACAAATCACAATCTAATTTTAAAACATGTTTGTTCCCCGAAAAGGAAACTCCATATCCATTGGCAATCTCAAGCATGTTTTAATTCTACTCTAAGAAAATCATCATTCCATGATCAACTCTGCAATCAAACAACTTTGTAATTATTTACAGTGGAGGATGAATAGAGTAATGTTGGGATAATTATCTTTTTTCCCTTATTACTCTCATGTCACCTGCTCTGGGTATGCATCATAAGCCTCTTATTAATCTACAAGCTGAAAAATAGTCATAGGATAGTTTTTTAAAGAATTCTAATATGACAAATATCGCTGGACCAACAAGGCTGATATAGAATAACACATTAGAGGAAGAGTGAGAAATGTTTTAACTATCTGCAAATCATGGTCCACCTTCTCTCAGAGCACAGCCTTCCTAGTTTACTTAGAAACCATAGAACACCAAAGAAGGTTTTTTTTTTTTTGATTTTTATTTATTTATGATAGTCACACACACACACACACAGAGAGAGAGGGAGAGAGGCAGAGACATAGGCAGAGGGAGAAGCAGGCTCCATGCACCGGGAGCCCGACGTGGGATTCGATCCGGGGTCTCCAGGATCACGCCCTGGGCCAAAGGCAGGCGCTAAACTGCTGCGCCACCCAGGGATCCCCCAAAGAAGGTTTTGATGGTGAAACTATGGAGTAGGAGGATTGCAGAGGGGATGGGTTTAATCCACCCAAAACTCAGAGCATTGCATGAAAACATAAAGGAACTTTGGACAACTGAGGAGGAGATCAAGGGCACTGGGCACGTAAAAAAGTGAAAATACCAAGAGCAGTAAGAGAATAACGCCCAAAAGAAACTTTGGTAACCAATTATCCTTTTCAATGGCACTGGACACGACTACCAATGAGAAAATGAAACTCCCCTTCACTCTACTAACAAATGTGGTCCACAAACTACATTTTTGGAAACACCGGCTTAGAGGTCTCATCTAGGGGAAGACGCTTTCTTATTTTTTTCCTTCTTTTTAAAAATATTTTATTTATTTAATCATGAGAGACAGAGAGAGAGAGGTAGAGATACAGGCAGAGGGAGAAGCCTACAGGGAGCCTCATGTGGAACTCGATCCCAGGACCCTGAGATCACAACCTGAGCCAAAGGTAGATGCTAAACTACTGAGCCACCCTGGTGCCCCCATTTCTTTCTTTGTTCCACTTAATTGGGGTAAACAAGATTGATACTGTGGTATAATTAAATAAGTAGCACTTACAGCTTATTACACACTTGTAAGTTGCAAAACCAAACAAATATTAGAACCTGTTGGGGAACTGCTTATTCGTCACATGGAGTCTGCTTTCTCAGTTATTACTGCCACCTCTGCTCAATTTATAAGCAGTCCCTCAGACAAAACTGATAAATTTGCTTCAATATTTTCACTGTCACATTGTATGCTTCCCCAAACCCTCAAAGTACAGACAATATTCATAAAAAACATAGACCTATAGTTATAGCCCATTAAAAGAAGAGAGTAACAAGTTTTTCATTAACTAAAATCAATAACATGCACCACTGCAATTTGCCATTATTGCAAAACCATACTGCATTACAATCAGAAATTATAAAATATTGTAACTTCTACAAAGTCACAGAGGTAACCAAAATTAGAGCAGTAAACTAGTGTGTGGTATGAAATCAATGGAATCATTGAGCTTCAAATCCCACGTACATTTTTTATATCAAAGAGATACGATTTACACAGTGAATACTTAACACCAAAAAGTGATGACCACTTCTTAACCTGACAATGGAAACTGAAATATTCTATTTCCTATTTGACCCCAATCGAAATTAGGAAATTTATGAACATATTTATTTTATTTTTATTAAGATTTTATTTATTTATTCATGAGAGACACACACAGAGAGAGAGAGAGAGGCAAAGACACAGGCAGAGGAAGAGGTAGGCTCCATGGAGGGAGCCCGACCTAGGACTCGATCCCAGATCTCCAGGATCAGGCCCTGGGCTGAAGGTGGCGCTAAACCGCTGAGCTACCCAGGCTTCCTGAACATATTTATTTTAGAAAAAATAATTCCAAGTGTTTTTCCTTTACTAGCAGAGAAATCTCCTAGAAGACCAACAGAAAAGATGAAAGACAGATCTCTCCCCAAAACCTACTATAGCTATGTAATCCCAATCACAAAAGGTCTCCCTCATTGGAATAATAAAAGCTGAAAGTAATCTTGAGGGAACAATTTGCAAAAGGGCTGTTGAAAGTGATACAACATATCAGCACCTGGCTGGCTAAGATGGTACAACATGTAACTCTTGATTTAGACTTTGTGAGTTCAAGCCCAACATCCGGCCTACAGATTATTAAATAAAAAATGTATATTTGGGTATATGTGAAAAACTCCTAATCAATTACTATTGTCCAAATGCCCAGTAGTGCTTCTGGGGGAAAAAAAAGTCAAGTTTCAGGGATCTCACCTCATTGTGACATGCCCTATTACGTATCTCAGTTATAATTATATCTCAGTTATAATTAGCATCTTCTATTATAACACATAAAATATTCTCAGGGATTACCAAGTATGACAGCAATTCTAGTTGCTTAATATTTGTTATTTCATTAATCTGCCACTCCTATGTTTAGCAAATAACTTACTTTCCAGATGAGGAAAACAAACATTACATATATGCATATATATATACAAAGACCTAATATATATATAATTTTATCTATAAACATAGAACTATAGCCAAGGGCAACCTCTAACATACACCTTCCAGATACTAGGGTGCAGAAAGACGTGAGTTTTGTTGTAGGAGAATCTATTGATTCTAGATAAAGCAATTTATCCCATGGAAATAAAAAGAGGAAAAAAAAAAGTTTCTCAAGTCGCCGCTGCACGACGTCGGGCAGGAGCCGGGGCGGGGGTCTGCGCTCTCCCGAGCGGCCGCGCGCTGGACTTTATTGTGCCGCAACAAGCCCCCGTTCCCATTGTTTGTGGTTTTTTTTCAAAATATGGCAAAGGTTCAGGTGAACAATGTAGTGGTGCTGGATAACCCTTCTCCTTTCTACAACCCGTTCCAGTTTGAGATCACCTTCGAGTGCATCGAGGACCTGTCTGAAGACTTGGAATGGAAAATTATCTATGTGGGCTCTGCAGAAAGTGAAGAATACGACCAAGTTTTAGACTCTGTTTTAGTGGGCCCTGTTCCTGCAGGAAGGCATATGTTTGTATTTCAGGCTGATGCACCTAATCCAGGACTCATTCCAGATGCAGATGCAGTGGGTGTAACCATTGTGCTAATTACATGTACCTATCGAGGTCAAGAATTTATTGGAGTTGGCTATTATGTAAATAATGAATATACTGAGACAGAACTAAGGGAAAATCCACCAGTAAAACCAGACTTTTCTAAGCTTCAAAGGAACATTTTGGCATCTAATCCCAGAGTCACAAGATTCCACATTAATTGGGAAGATAACACAGAAAAACTGGAAGATGCAGAGAGCAGTAATCCAAATCTACAATCACTTCTTTCAACAGATGCATTACCTTCAGCATCAAAGGGATGGTCCACGTCAGAAAACTCATTAAATGTCATGTTAGAATCCCATATGGACTGCATGTGACCACCTGCCATCCCTTTAGTACAAATTAAGCTATAAAAACACACAGAACTATTTCCCTGAAATTCCGTAAGTACATAGTCAAGACACAATGTGAAGAATTTGTTTAAAAACATCCTGTAGAAAGTTTATAAGAAAACCAGTATTTGAGCAAATTGTGGAATATAAATATATAAATACAACTATTTTTAAGTAAAAAAAAAAAACAAAACAGAATGATACTTTCCATGATACAACATATTGAAAACATGCAGGCCTCAAACTAAAGTGTGAGCATGACTGATTTTCTTTTTCATTTAAATAAAATTCTTACACATGGACACTCTCTAATTCCATTAGTATTCAAAAACATGTATGTCTGGTAACATAGCCATACAATAGAGATTTTTCTTTATTCTTTGCTTTGCTTTACAAATTGCTTTAAATTTTTATAGGATGGTAAATTAGAACAGTATTTCAAAACATTTTACTGATCCATAGTTGACATTAAACCTAAACAATAGGGCACCCCAGGTGGCTCAGCTGTTTAGCGCCTCCTTTCGGTCCAGGGCCTGATCCTAGAGTCCCATGATCGAGTCCCGAGTCGGGCTCCCTGCATGGAGCCTGCTTCTCCCTCTGCCTGTGTCTCTGCCTCTCTCTGTGTGTCTCTCATTAATAAATAAATAAAGTCTTTTAAAAAAATAAACCTAAACAATATTATCCTTTTTATAGACTTTTGGCGATAGTATAAAACCAGGATTAAGCACAATATTCAAAGAGTCACAGCCATAAGAATGAGCCCTGCCTTAAATTCTGTACCTCAGCTCACACTACTCCTGTCCCTGCAAGAAGGTAATTATACTGTAAAATTCTTGGAGACTTTTGGTAATTAATAAAGAGAAGTGATCCTAACTGTTTTTCTACTATCGAATAAGCATCATACCTGTAGATATTTCCATTATTTCACCAAAAGTAAAAATATGCTTTGAATACTGAAGTAGGAAAACATGAGTTTTATGGAGGCATTAATATCCTATTCATTTAGTCTCCAAATCTGAGAGAAAGCTGGTAATAGAACTCTGGTAATCGTTCAGCTTATCTTTGGAACAAGTAATTTTTTTCCTTCACATGACAATGAATAAATGTATGTTGAAAAAACCCACAAATCATTAACATCATGAACAATTAATCCCATACCTCTACCAAATGAAGAAAGTAATTCAAACTAGTTTGAGGTCTCTCCCAGAAGATGAACAGTCTTGAACATAGAAACATTGGCAAAATTTGAGTATGGTAAGCAATTTCTGCTTATCAGAGCAGAATTTCATCACCAGGTAACTGATTTAGTGAGTTCTTAACTCTATACAAAAAATGTCCCCATATGATTATACTCAAGGTCAGCAGTGATATGTTAAAGGTACCGACAATTCATTACCTAGGGAATCTAGTTTTGAATTCAGTTTTTTACTTTCATGATTACGTATCAGAATTACTGGCACAAATCAATTTTAGAAAATGACATCGGGAGATACTATTATAAAGCACCCTGGACATTTCTAAGTTGCCCACTTATGAACTTATTTTTAAAAGAATAAGCACAAGGAAAAAAAGAGTCCTTGAAATATATATAACCAGTTAATAGAAATAATGCTAGTAAATGGGGCAGCCCCGGTGGCTCACTGGTTTAGTGCCGCCTTTGGCCCAGGGTGTGATCCTGGAGACCCAGGATCGAGTCCCACGTCAGGCTCCCTGCATGGAGCCTGCTTCTCCCTCTGCCTGTGTCTCTGCCTCTCTCTCTCTCTCATTAATAAATAAATAAAATTTAAAAAATAATGCTAGTAAATAAAAAACCTAGGTCATTAATTTTTTTTAAATTTTATTTATTTATTCATGAGAGACACAAAGACAGAGGGAGAAGCAAGCTCCTTGAAGCAACCTGATGTGGGACTCGATCCCGGGAATCTGGGACCACGCCCTGAGCCAAAGGCAGATGCTCAACAGCTCAGCCACCCAGGCAAACACATATGTGATTAAAACTAATAAACACAAATATGCATCTTTTTGCACTTGAGCATATACTGAGATGTAATACAGAAAAGATATGCCTGAGAATGTGTTCCAATGTCAAACCAGAATAAAAAAAACTAAACATTCATGTCAAGAATCGTGCTACAAGAGTCATTGAAGAGATTCATATGTTAGGATAAATATTATGATAAAAAATGTCCAGGTAACTTCAGGTAGTACGGAATGCCATTTTAAATATAAAACCTATTCATTTAATATTACATGCAAAAAATGTGCTTCAAATATCCTTCTGCTTTTTTTTCCTTCTGCCTTATTAAGTGGAAGCAAGTGAATATAACTATTAAATTTTCAAGCCTTTTCTAAATTTAAAGATCATGTGGAAGTCATTTTGTCCATTACCCAGGATGATATGTGGAAACAGATAATATGATGTTTTGTAGTAAATATGTACCTGCCTGCAAAATACACTATATTTGATTTTATTTTATTACAGCTCTCCAATTAGTTTTTCCTGTATTTTGTTTCTTCTAAAACTAAAGGCAATGTCAAAATAAAAGGTGATTCAGGGTCCTAGTTAGTCAAGTTCTCATTAAAGTTGTTATAAAAGTAATTTAATTTAGTATATTTATGTTACCAGGAAATCTTTTTTTTTGTTACCAGGAAATCTTATGTAAAAACACCACAAATACGTAATTGTTCCTTTAACGTTTCTTAGGTACTTCCCTAGGAGATCAGAAAGAATTATTTTACAGACAATACAGTATCAAAATTAACTACCAATTTTATTTTATTTATTTATTCATGAGAGACACACGGAGAGGCAGAGACACAGGCAGAGAGAGAAGCAGGCCCCGTGCAGGGAGCCTGATGCGGGACTCGATCCGGGGACTCCAGGATCATGCCCTGAACCAAAGGCAGACGCTTAACCACAGAGCCACCCGGGCGTCCCTAACTACCAATTTTAAAACATGAGGACATTAGGATTAGAAAAGCTCCTGAAGATTGTATAGCCTAACTACCCCTTGTACAGAGGAAACATGGAGCCAGAGAGAAATGAATAATTGAAAAAATATCTAGGACAAAACTCAGCCGAAGTGAGGGGCAGCTGGGTGGCTCAGTCCCTTAAGCATTCTACCCTTGATTCTTCTTTTTTTTTTTTTAAGATTTTATTTATTTATTCATGAGAGACACACAGAGAGAGGGGCAGAGACACAGGCAGAGGGAGAAGCAGGCTCCATGCAGGGAACCTGATGTGGGACTCGATCCCAGGACCCCGGGATCATGCCCTGAGCCCAAGGCACACGCTCAACTGCTGAGACACCCAGGAGTCCCTCCCAGGCGCCCTTCTCGATGGGTTTACTAAAGACCATAGTTCTTCTACAGTTGTAAAGCGTGGCTAATAGCTTCCCTTGGCCATGATACTCACTGTGTCATGTCATTTTCTAGTCTCCTACATGTTTGGTCCATGACCTCAGTGAAGTTTGCTGGTTGCAGAATTCCCTGTAGCAGCCGGTGCACATCCCTATATGTGGGGCTACAAACTGAATATGCTGTGGAGCACTTCTGCAAGTCTTTTTGGGCACGGAAAAAGAGGTCTTTAAATGACTACTAGCGGGGTGCCTGGCTGGCTCAGTTGCTGGAGCATATGACTCTTGATCTTGGGGTTGTGAGTTTGAGCCCCATGTTGGGTGTAGAGATTACTTAAAAATAAAATCTTTTTTTTTTTTTTTTTTTTGAGAGAGAGTGAGACAGAGCGTGCTGGGGTTGGGTGGTGTGCAGAGAGGGAGGGAGAGAGAGAGAGAGAGAGAGAGAGAATCTTAAGCAGCCTATATGCCCAGCATGGAGCCTAGGGTGGGCCTCAACCTCATGACCCTGAGATAATGGACCTTAGCCGAAATCAAGAGTTAGATGCTTAACCAACTGAGCCACCCAGGTGCCCCAAAAGTAAAATCTTAAAAAAAAAAAAAAAAGACTAATATCATCTAGTGAGAAAGGCAAGTGGATTACCTGGGAGGTCCAAATAGCTTCTCTATGGCATCAACTTCACAGGTCATCTGAATAGGAAGAGCAGGTTTTCCTTACACAGAATACCTTGGCCATATCGTGGGTTTGGTTCAGACCACTGCATAAAATAAATATCACAAGAAAGTGAGTCAAGTAAGTTTTTTGATTTCCTGGTGCATATAAAAGTTATGTTTATAATATACTGTGGTCTACTAAGCACACAATAGCAGGGTGTTTAAAAAACAATGTACATATCTTAATTTTAAAATACTTTATTGCTAAAAAAAGCTCACTGAGCTTTCAGTTGAGTTGAAATCTCTGATCACAGATCACCATAAAAATACAGTATTAAAAAATTTTCATCATTATGAGAATTACCAAATGTGACACGGAGACACAAAGTAAGCAAATGCTCTGGAAAAAATGGTGCCAATAGATTTGTTCAATGCAGGGTTGCCACAAACCTACAATTTGTAAAATATGCAGTATCTGTGAAACACAATAAAGTATCTGTAAAGCACAAAAAATGCAGGTATGCCCATTGAGACAAAAATGTTCGATTATATAAAGCACTTTGCTTTCTTTTCTCATGTTGATATTTATCAGGCCTAACATTATTTTTGTCTTTTTCAACATGGCCAATGCAGCCCCTCTATCCTGTTGCCTTTATACAGAGACATGATCTTTTATCCAAATTCCCAATTCTGTATTTTTTCTTTTTAATATTTTATTTATTTCTTCATGAGAGACGTAGAAAGAGAGAGGCAGAGACATAGGCAGGGGGAGAAGCAGGCTCCATGCAGGGAGCCAAATGTGGGGCTCGATCCTGGAACTCCAGGATTATGTCCTGAGCCCAAGGTAGAAGCCCAAACTCTGAGCCACCCAGGCGTCCCACATTACCTCGGTCTTACAGCATGATGTGAAATAGGACTGAAAAGAGAGAACATGCATATCTTGTTCCCAGACTTAAGCGGAAAGGATCTAATTTCTTAATATACACGCATTAATAGAAAAGTTACAAAGGTATCCTATAAATACTTCACACTGTTATAAAAGATGACAATCTTACATTATTGCTGTAATACATTTCTCAAAATTTCAAAGGCAATATTATTATAACAGAAACTCCAGGCTTTATTTGAATTTCATGAGT